CAATTCTCCTCAAGTTTGTCGAAGCAATAAGCAATATCTATCAAACGCTTGAAACCCAATTTATGTATTCATAAAGAAGCAGTTATCAGTCTTTCCTCGCCACTCTGGTAACTGAATGCCTTTGTCCCCTCTTTCATCTGATTACGTAATCTTTGGCTTAAACCTCACCCCTCTTTATATAGTGTAATTTTGCTTGCCTCTTGTTTTGTGTGACTATTGAGTTGAACTCAGTACATTGTTACCTAATTTATCATTCACTCACCATCTTACGCATCTCTCGTCTCTATTACATAACTCTTTTATCATTGTATGCATGCATTTACTTTGTTTAAACTTGAACTCCCTCCCTGTGTGAAAACTATATAAGCATAATTTTTTGGACACTGTTCACTAATTCTAGAGCCTCCTGTCAACTGACATCATGTAAAATTTGCAAGTATGCTAAAACTTTTCTGAACATGAACTTATTAGTAACTTATTTAGGCTGTAAGCAACTGATGAGAAACCAAGGAAATAAATAATGGTACCATATTATTCTGCACAAACCACCGCTGTTGTTCTTGCCTTATTCAAAGATATGATGCATTGTGTTGGATGGGAGGAATTCAGTTCACCGAATGATGATTCCAACAGCCTGTTAAAATTCATTGTTGAACCATTTATTTTATTCCCCTTAACCACGTATTGTTCTAGGTCGATGGCGAGCCTGAATAGCTCAGTAGTAACACCTCTGACTGCAGCACTGGGTGATGCGGGTTCGAATCCTAGAAGGGACATTAGTTTCTCCAAGATGGCAGATAAGCCTTGCTGACGAGTGTCGACTAGCGCTAAACCTAGGTGAAGCAAGGGGCATCCTGCCAATTGCCTCCAACCATCTAATATGGTACCATATTATTCTGTACAAACCACTGTTGCTCTTGCTTTATTCAAATTCATCAAGGGGAATAAATAAATGTATGAGGTTTTTTTATACAAGCAGCACGTGATGAAAAGTATACCCATTTTTAACCAATAACATAAGAATGTGAACAAAACGACAGGTTAATTATGCAGATAAGAGAAAATTCAACGCATGACCTTTACTAAACTTTCCTATTTAGGTCAACGATTTTGTATATCTCGATGCCTACAAAACAATGTTCATCGTTATTCTCACTCATTCTAAATACATTTCCCAATATAATTCCTATTAACAAGTAGGCTGACAATATCGAACTCCCACATCAAGATGATGGTGATGAATTAACCTCTTATCTGTATAATGAACAAAGTGTATATATTGTGAAGTGTAGACAGCAGTAAAGTTCACTACAAAAGTTGGTGAGGGCATTTAATGCAGTTTAAACCACTCACACAGTTTCAAGTTAACATTCACATACAATTTGATGTATACGACAATGAGCTACATCACTTATTCGGGTTGAGAAAACATTTTAATACAAATCAGTCACAGCCATATAGTTATATTACTACTAGTACCAAGTATAATTATGCTTTTTCCAAATAGTTGTTATACCTCGCATTTGTGAATTTTTCCAAACGTTCATATTTTACGTCAAGCAAATACTGATTCATACCTTCTTCCAAATAAATCTAGTTCACCTGCTCTGGCAACAGGGGTGTTCTTCACAAAAGTGACAGAGTGAATGATGTCTCGTGCTTACAACGAGACTAGCCAACATACACCTCTACCTAAGGGATCTGGAAAACGCTGATTCCAAACCTATGGTGTTCATGAACTACAGAATCCGGGTGGAACGAATAGCGTATGAACCTGTTTTCGTAACTTGAATCCATGAGAAAGCAGCTCTTGATACTGCTTCACTGTATCGGATGGCCTCTTAAGACACAACCACTTGCTTCAGTCTGTGCATTCGAGCAGTATCCCAATCCTAGTACAAACTGTGAAGTTTTCTGCGGTTCGTCTCCTGATGCCCATAATGTAACAAGTTATTGTTTTAGTTAATAAATAATTAAGTGAACATTGAAACAAAACTTAAGAAAATAGAAGTTAGTGGTGATTGATGACTAGCAGTGGAATCTAGGATGTGCATTTCGTCCTATTTTGGACTCGTCAACTGGATCTGCCTGCACTGAATTAAGACTTAAGAAAGTGCGTCGCTAAGATACTTCATAAACATTAACTAGAATGTTGTAAAAGCAGCACGACAGTGAGAATTCAACTACATGTAACTTCAGTATATCTAAGATAAATTTATAAATAGGAGACCACAGTTTTTCTTCAAATATGTACTGTTGGAATTTAAATAGATTAGCTTTTTTAGTTGATAGTTTTTTATAGCTCTATAGTATGATCTCAGCATACAGTTTATTTATTGGCTATAATAAAATAAACACAAACCATATGAACATACATGATTACAAAGAAATAGGCATACACACAAGATACATTTACTTATATGTATGCAAGCACATACAGAAAAAGACACAGAGAGATGGTAGATGCACACACACATCATTACAAACACACATTCAATGATAATGACAGTACAGTAATGTTCATGCAAAAATCTAAAAAGAAATCTCACGTATATACACAAATGAGGACAATGACAATTTGTGGGAAACTGTTTTGACTTCTGATGACAGTATTCAAATAAATAGGCTTGATTTTTCATATCATATTGAAGTTATAACCCTACAGTTTACAGGTGAGATATTTTCGTGCATAGGATGGTAAACGCCATAACAGGCATTCCGGCTGTGAAAAAAATAGCTAAATGTAACTTCTGATATGATCACTGCAGTCCTCTAAGAACGTAATACAAAATCACATAAAACCAACCAAATGAGGAAATTCAAATCGTAAATGACTACTTCAGCTCTACATATTTGAGGCAAAGTTAAACTATCATAGCCAAAGCCGCGGTGATCTTGAACAGTCAGTCAGAACTCAAATGGAGAAAGGAAGCATAATCGTTGAAAAATGCACTAAAAAATATTGCAAAAATGGTGTTCATTATGTCGTTATCGCGTATGTGTTGTAAGAATATCTCTCAGTCATTACACAGATGATCTATAGAGAAACCACACCATGCGCCAAAGATGCATTCATCCAGGTGACTGTAGGTCATGGTGCTTTGAGATACACTGATATTTCTGACACTGCTCTTCAATCTACTAATAACTCTAACCCTAATCCAAACCCTAACTCTAGACCCTAAACCTTAACTTAAAAAACCATAACCCAACTTAACGGTATTGATTTACACAAAAAGTAGCTGTGCGTCGGTGGCACAATGGTTAGGACTCTCGCCAACCATGCACATGGTCCGAGGTTCGATCCCCTGTCGACGAACACCTGATATCTATGATCGGCCTGCAAAATTTGGGCTACCGATATCCATGCTGAAAATTCCATACTTGTACCAAAAATACAGTGTGGAATCTAGCTGTAGTCAAAAAAATAAAATATTGAAGGTCCAAAAAAGTAGGCGATTTGATTTGGAACGACCTTTCATAGCATTCTCTGTATCCGGTTGGTTCTTGAAGGCTATGATACTTTAACTTAGCCAACGCGGCGACTTAAATCCTCACTCGTGCACAGAGACTTTCATGGGGTGCTATTGCTTGAAGAATTAATTGAAAATCAAGAAATACCACAAGGTTGTTCTGTCCTATAAGAATAATAGTAATTTATATATCACTATTCCTCCTGGTGATTTAACAATCAAGCTTTAATTGCTATACTGAGCCAAATAAGAATGTCGTTTCAATTTTTAGTAACTAACCAACAAATTTTTAGGACGAAAGTAAATTTCAAAATGGATCGACATCAACTAGAGCACTAATAAAAACAAAACAGCACTGGACTAATCAATAAAGTCATAACAACTGTCAAAGACAGGAGGATGAGTTACAAACCACCAGAATCTTAACATTCAAAGTACCAGACGTTTGTTTCTCAGCATAAGGGGATTCTTTATTAGTGGAAGCTTATCAACTGTAGAAGAAATCTAACTCATGACAATACGTTTTTACAATGAATACATTCCTATTCATCCAGAAAGATGGAATCCAATATACATTTGATGCCAAAATTCTGTTAATTCAGTGTGTTGTGCGATCGCCATTTCACTGCTGGGCTCCTTCGTGAATCTCAATTTATAAAGGCTATATTTAGTTCTAAAAGACTTTTTCATTTGTCTGTCTGTCTGTCTATCTGTTTCAACATAGAACTTTGCACCGATATGCAGCAGTTCGAGTCGCCAAACTCCCTCCATGTAGCACACAAAGCAAGAGAAGAAAGTAGAAGAAATGCATAATAGAGACAGTAAACAGAGATATGGGACAAAAGGAATAGTATTAACGAAGAATAATATAGTTTCATTGGAAATTATATGTCTCAAGGAGTGGATGCATCTGCGCTATGCATTGAGAACGATTTTGAGCCATATCAGCAATTGTTTCCAGCCATTGGTTTTTCATTTGAAATCAAAAACGCACTAGATAGAGTAATTATATTCAGTTATACAAAACTTTAACCCAGACACTAAGAAATAATCAGAGCAAATATCAGACTTCTAATGTTGTGCTCAATAAAAGGTTACCGAAACAGTAATCAAAGAGATTATTATTATTATTATTAAGAGAATTAATATACCTCATAGTAAGGCTGGTTCAACATTTTTATCAACAAAGTTATTCGATTTTCACCCACCCCCCTCCATCATTCACTACTTAAGTTTTTAAATGTATTCTTACAGTCTAAATTGGGGAATGGAATTAATGGGGCTTTTTTAATAGAAAGAAGTACAAATCCAAATCCGTTGTATTTGGAAAAGGAGTGACTGCAGTCATAAGTTTGGCGAATCTCCTTTTTCTTTGTAGAATATAATATTTTAACATCTTTAAAGCGGTTATTCCTAGATAATCTTACGCGTTCATCAATTAAAGTTTTAAAACTCGTGGTATTTATACACACGCAATAAAAGTAAAAAGAAATTGATTTTATCATAAAGAAAGCTTGATTCGCTTACTATCATCAACGCCTTTCCGTTGAACCGTGGAAGGAAGTAGTTTCATATTGTTCAGCGACCTGTAATAATTAAAATCATTTAAATAAATTCGTGATTACGATATTTAGTAAACTACACCTACTACTTTAATGTTATTAAAATTCTTATAAAATTTTACTCCGACACGTAAGTTAACAAAATAATATACGGAATCGGCAAAAAACACAAGAGAATATTTCCCTTAAGACATCACAAAACTGCAATAAGTAGAATTCATAAAGTAATGAGAATTTTCTCTGTAAAATTCACTAAATATACAGAGAAGAATTTTAAGGATGGAAATTAATTTTTAATATTATCCTTCTAAATACATTTACATTCAAAGTCATAAAGCATAAGGAATACCTTCTTTGTATTACAACGTTGCTTTCCAAGTGTATCTTATTAAAATACACGCAGACAAGCATACATCTCAAATTAGTTATTTTCACCTCATATAAAGGTGAATATGCCAAGAATTATTCGACAAGTTTTCATCAGTTCTGTACATCATTAGATGTACGGTATTGAAGTACATTTTCATAAAGTGGTGTGTGTACATGACTACTAAACTGTATTTTGTGAATTTCGTGACTCATCCTCTTAGACTAGTAAAGTACCATTCCCACACTTATTTAACAATAAATATTTTGAAAAATGTCTCCCATGAGCCATATATAAGCCCATATTCATGTCTGTGTGAGGGGTGTGCAAATTCCAATTAATACAGATATATATACTAGTCCAAAGTTCATTGTATAACATGTACGACAGAAAAATCACCACCTATTTCACGTTAACTACATCTCATTAGTATGTCGGTGGGTTAGTAGCATAATGTTCGTCAACCACTCACGTGGTCCACAGTTCGATTCCCGGTCAAAATGCTCCTAAACCTCGTTTAGCCGGTAGTCATTTCGGTAAAGAAGAAAGGTTGGTTAGAAGGAAGGCTAGCAACCTCACCGCATATAAAAAACATCACCACTACTGAAACTTCAAAGTTGAAGCCTGAGGCTCTACGTTGCACTCGGAATGCAAAGGAATGAAAAAAACGTTGACTGATTGTCAAACAAGCTTCAAATGTATTTACATATTCATAATATCAGTTGACATTATTAGCGTAGTGTTCACAACTGACAGAAATTTACAAAGCTGTCGGGTCCCAGTGACTGAATGGTATATGAGTTCCCTGGCCTTGTAACCGGAAGGTCCTGGGTTAGAACCCTTGGCAGTGGGTGAGTACTGCCGATGATTCCTAAACTGGGATGAGAAAGCTGTCCCGTACTCCTTGGTTTTCAATGGTTCTCTAACTGATATCAATCCGTGATCAACTCGTAAAAGCAAAACTAATCTTTACAAACCAACTACAGAAAAGTAGATTTCGTCACGAAGTGACATCATCTAAGGAACCAATGATACCGTAAAATTTCACAACATATTTATCCGTCTTTTACAGATAAAGTAACACTTTTCCACCAAAAACTTCTTACTAATGCATGTACTCTTTCCAGGTTATACACCATAAACTATTTTTAAAGTACTGGTTTTTGTATGGATTTTGTTTTGACTGCATGGAGGATTTCACCATGAGCTGACATCAGTTAGAGAATCACTGGAAAACCTGGAAGTACTGGACAACTGTTTCATCCTAGTTTGAGACTCATCATCAGTACGCACTCAACGGGGTTCGAACCGAGGACCTCTTGGTCACAAGGCAAACCAATACCTGAAAATTAATCTAATGCTCACTAGTGACTGGCCCTATTCAGGCAGTTAACCTGGGATTCTAGTAGGAAGCCATGACCAGTAGGGTACAGCAGCTTGAAGATGAGGCAGTAACTCATCGAAGAGGACATTGCGAAATGGTCGCGCTATGTCGCGAATTGGCAGAAGTTAGAATTCAAGGACCATTGGATCGGGTCCCAGTGGCTCAATGATCTACAAGCTCGCTGGCCTTGTAACCAGAAGGTCCTGGGTTCGAACCGTGAGGGTGGGTGTGTACTAATGAAGAGTCCCGAACTAGGACGGATGAATCAGCTGTCCAGTACTCTCAGGTTTTCCAGTGGTTCTCTAATTGATGTCAGCTCATGGTGAAATCCTCAATTCAATCTAAACTATTTTTCCTATAGTACTTAAAAAAGATAGATATACATAAATCCAACAAAGTTTTATAAGACAAGTCTATCAAACCGATACACCTTTTTTTATTAAGATGTTTGCCTACTGTGAATTATTGATAAAATGTGATATCTAGCAGCGACAATTACACATTCTATATACAGCTGACTGGAAATAATAATTATTATTATTATTCTTAGTTCAAACAAAAAGCCTAAACATCTGACTAAAAAACTAGTCGGTTAGACAACAAATATGCTTAATTATAGCCAATCATTTACTTATATATCTAGCCAATAGCAAACAACCACACACACACACACACACACTTACATACGCTTATCAATAAACACACCAATTATGCACTAGATACAAATCTATGGGTTTTTTTAAAAAAACAAGTCTGTTGGCTAATTCTACTCTACACAACACTACTGTTCACGCTAGTGCTAATGAAAGTAACCACAAATTGAAACAATTATCACTAAAAAAGAGATATTCAAACAAACAGCAAAAATAAGATATTTTTCAAGTATTAAATCCTCCATACAAAAATAAGATAGTCAAATAACAGAGAACAAGAAATGATCACTGCAATGATAAGAAGACTAGAGAGACTCAACTTCATACAGTGATAATACTAATAATGGGATTATTGAAGTACCTGACGTATAACTATTCCATAAGGCTAACAAAGTAGGATTAAATGATTCATACAATAGAATATTTTATTTCAACAACTTAAATCTATCATAGAACAATTATATCTGTTGATAAATCTATATAAATAAACAAATAAAGTTATATTTTTTAAAAATGTCAATTCCGTGAATAAATTGATAACCGATAAAGGTTACATGAATATATATACAGTATGTATCAATAAAAAGAACATATTCCCAATCCATTATAACATTTTTTCTAGAGTTTACTAAATAATTGTTTTAACACGTAGGAAAGAATCACCAACAAGAAACTATGGCTGGGAACAAACAAAACAAGAACAAACCAATCGTCCAACGAATATACAGGAGAAAGTGGAGGTGGATTGGACACTCGATCGCTGAGGAGACCGCTGGGTGACATCGCGCGCGCGTCAGGCCATTGCTTGAGTGGAACCAGGCCGAAAAGGAAGCGGCGAGTGGGACGTTAGTGCGAGGGTGACATGGAGGGGATCGTGTGAAGAGGAGTTGAAAAAGTATGGACTAACATGGATGGATGTGAAAAGTACAGCAGAAGGAAGACAGAAGTGGCAAGTGGAGACGTGCAGTTGAAGCCCTATATTCCACTAGGAACCCAAGGGAACAATAATAATAATAAAGTGCTCATTAAGCCATATATATGGGGGGGGGGCAACGTGTAAGTTCCACGTGAAACTTACAAGCAATAGGTATTCTATAGCTTTTAATGTCACCAATTATCTTATAGCTTATTCGATTAGAAGACAGTTTCGCCAAACATTTATCTAGGTATTAGTACTCTTTTCAATATTTATTCTAGTTTTGCAATAAGAATTGATATCATAATTACTAACAAGTAATAGTAATGTAAATCACATGTTCACGCCTGTGAAAAAACTGGTCTGTTTTTTTTAAGAAATAAAATTGCTAATATCATAATTTGAAGTTGTAAAATAATATATGAAATTAATGAAGATAGATAACAGGTAATCACTAAACATAACGCACAGAGAATACATCATTGTTAAGATGTAAGGAAAAAGAACATGGGAATCGGAATTAGATATTATGTGAGCCACAAAAAAAACATACCCAACACCATAAGCAAAATTCCTCCAGACAATACTAACTTTACTGTGACTAATCGATTTAGAGTTTGTCCTTCTTATTACGCAATGAATACTTATTGTTTAAGAAATGTCGCATTGTTACACCACTTCATTTGACACCTAGATCCCACCATTGTGTTCCCTTCTAACAATGCACTAACCATACAACCTCAACTCATTATTAATTTAATAGTAAGAAATAAAGAGCTATCTACACGACTTTATATATATATATATATATATATATATATATATATATATATATATATATATATATATATATATATATATATGTTTATATATATAACATTGTGATCCAAGCATTTTGACTTTCAAAAAGAAACCATAGTACAATATCATCACAAACTGTATACTTTGAAAAGCAGCTTTTCGTATTCAGAGGTTTGTGTTTCATGATAACAAAATACAACTGCACAACGGTTTGGGGTTGCTAGCTTCGTGACCAACCTTCTCTCTTTACCGGGCTTACTACCGGCTAGGCGAGGTTTAGGAATGCGTCGGCTGGGGGTCGAACCGTGGATCACATGAGTAGTTGGCAAGTATTCCACTGCCGAACCACCGATGTGACAACTTTATGAAAACTAAAACAAAGCCCAACAACTTAATTTACAATTAGCACAAAGAACAGACTCTCCACCTCAAACCTAATCCACACTTATTAGCACAAAGTACTATGTAACTATTCGAACATATTATTGATGAAAAATATTTAAAAATGTATGACATAAATTAACGATTAATAAGTAGTTCCGGGGGAGATTTCTTATAATATTTACTACTGATCGATAGGAGAAGTTTGCAACCAGTCATGTCGATCAGTAGTTACTTAACAGTCAGACTGAAAGTTTCAACATAATTCAAAGAAACGCGCTCATCATCGACATCAAAAATTACTTTGAACTAAAATGATCTAATATGTTATTATGCATGAAAATATTATTTTAAAGAAGAAATTTACTTTGAATTTAAGGATTTCCTGCCTCTTTTCAGTTGAGGTTTTTGTAAGTACTCAGAACCACGAAGAACACGGCAAGGTATATGTTTATCGAATCTTCCTTTAGTTTTAAACTGCATTCCACATTCTTGACATGTAAATTTTTTTACTTTGATTATTGGTTCACTCGTTAATTGTTCAGGAGACGAAGATGTTAACTGTTTGTAAGGAGATTCATCTGAAAATAATAAAATCAGGAGATAATACCCAGGAATTTAACATAAATACAGTTTAAATTTCAATACTGAATGATGTTACATAGATAGTTAAGGAGCATTAGACATATTTTACAGTAACCCTACACACTTGGACAATCCTCGATTCCTTACAAAACATAACTTGTACTTGTAAACCGGTGACTGACTGCTAACCATTGTACTTGTCTTGTAAAATGTATTGATCAAAATCCAGTCGTGTGTAAGACGTAATCACTAAGGCACGTGATAATACATTGCAATCATTCGTTAAGGATGCTGTCAAACACAAAACCCATATCCAGGGCCTCCTCTCGATTGATTCATTACACCAGTTCCTATATTTTACTTAAAATAATGTTTCACTAACAGGTCAAACATAAATAGCTAAGTATTTTAAAATTCATTTATTTTGCAATATAACGGTTGTAATAACAGTAATTGATAAGGCAAACTACACTCAAAAGTTCTCAAAATCGTCGGACGGCCGTAAATATGATTTCTTTTTCATTCATATTTATTGAACAATGAGCCATGTAGCTGAAGAACACTAAACTGAAACATCATCTGTAACTTAGTAGTTTAATTACTCAATCTTCAGTCATTAACTATATATGTTTAGACTCAGTAAACTTACTTCGGCCGGAGTAATTAAGTTATACATATATCCCTAAAATAGATGTAGCTAATAGCATATTGGTACTATTGTAAGTTGTATCACATTATAATTAAGAGCAAATTATGCTGGGTACACACGATATCTATTGAAAGTAAAAACAAGTGATAGAGAACTAAAGTATTTGTTATGAAATCACTCTAAAAAGTAACTAATCCATACAAATGTGCATAAAAATGCAGTGGATTCCTTTCAGTTTCAAAATAAATTGCTTTGAAACTACCTGCTATCAGTCTTTTTGTTAAACTTTGGAAATCTTGTCGTCAACAATTACACAAGTGACAAGACTACTGTATATTTAATACACTTGTAATGTAGAGAACCCTTAAACCACAAATTTATTTCTTTAACTGAATGGCAATGGACTTATCTGACAACTATGATATCAATAAAATATGCAGCTAAGTAATGATGAGAATTCTTATACTAGGTACTAGACTCTACTTAATGTAATTTATGACAGTAAGTGAAGATATCCAACCATAAAGATGGAAATAAAGTATGTGACCCAGCATTTCAATGCTCAGAAACCATAGAGTGCATATTGATACACAACAAAAGACTTGATAGTGCTTATAATAACTTTCTATCGGCCACACTTCACTTCGGATGACGAATCCGATGTGAGCAGAATGGAAGTAAGTTGAGCATACACATGATATTGTTTCAAAGTTCATACCATCTACCTTGAATATCTCGCATACTAAAATAATAAACTGTCGGACAAAAAAAAGCAAAACTCCCCTGAATACTAACCATGTGCTGTTGATCAAACTTGTAAACTGATTAGTCTAAAATTACTTAATATTTTACAAGTATCCACTATATTGCCCACATGGTGGTTCCAATAATCAATATTCGCTGAAGAACTACTCACGGTCAATAGTACGAAAAATTGTTCAGTAGCAGTGCACACTATCGGTCTTCAGGAAAACCAAAAACAAACAAACCTTTCTTTCAATTCCAACTTAAATGCCTTTTCACTTAAAAGTGATTCTTCTGCACTTGTGACATAATACGTTTGTAACGTTTATTATAACAATATAAGTTACAACTGACTTTTCCAGTATTGGAAATCCAGACAGTATATTAATTTTATTTACAATGCAGCTAAGCCAGTGTTCTCGGTTTTTGTATGCCATTCTGAGATTAATTAACTAAAAGCTATTGAAAACAGAAAATAACATTTCTGTGTTAACCTCATTGCTGCTTAATCAGTAACTAGTGACAGATATGGATAAATAACAAAAATCCATCTAATCACTACCTACAAGGTGTCAAAACAAAATATAGAGTACAACAAATCAATAAATTTACTAAAGAATATGCATACCTGTCTTGACTTTAATATTCAGTTTGTCAGATTTCTGATTTGCAACGCTTTCAGAATCACCCTTCGATAATCTGCGCTGACGTTTGCATGACATTTTGTCCGAGGAAAGGCTAAGTGGACAGGTTGATGAATCCAATCCTTCACAAAAGGATGGGGAATCCAAATCCCCCAATTTATACTTCCGAGGACGACCAGCTTTACGTTTTGGTTTGCCTCTTGGAGATTGAGATATAATTCGTTTTGTGCAATTTCGATGAAATATGATAGGTTCACAATTCATCCCTTTAGTTAACGTTTCAGCTTTTATATACGAACGACGACCTCTTCTAGATCCTGAGTTTGTTTCAGTGAATTCTCGGGGATTTGGCATTTCTTATATGGTAAGAGCTAGAATTTAAAAAAGACCAAAAGTTAAGGAATTTTGATAAGCGAAAGCCATTAAAAATATTGTAACAATGTTTGAAAGAAAAGCATTTATTGCGTAGTATCCCATCATACACATTCACTTTTATTTAAAAAACATCATAAAAGCTAATCAATAAATAAATACCAACCTCCAATAGATACACAAAGGATAAAGAACTTCATGCAGTAGCCATCGTAATAAACAAACATCCTGTAAGCGAAATATTCCTTATTAATAAAGAGATTGGAATATATTATTATTTACTACAATTCATTTGGTAATATTCCTTCCATACTGAAGAACAATTTCGCGGGAAAATGTCTAACTGGATGTTTTACTGCAGTGTATAAAATAGAAGTTTAGAGATTCACCGAGTATTATGTACAGCAACAGGAGTATGGTAAGTTGAGAAATGAATTAAAATAGACAATTTATTCATTCTGTGAAAGGATTTTCACTAAAATGAACGTTAGTAGTACTAGATAAATCCTACTAATATACAAATATGGTTAGTTTGAATGGTTTAATTGTAGAAAACAAGTATCAGTCTACCGAAACCATGATTTACGGAGCACTTTGCCTAGTTTACCTGTGGTACAAACGTGTATGTCATATAAGACCCAACCACTAGGTAAAACAAAATTTCGATGATACAGAAAACAGCAGATACAAATAAACTTACACTATGGTAGATTTTATTCAAAGAGTGATGAAAACATTTGCAGAAATGCTCTTTAGTAAAGCCTCACTCAGCAGTTATTGTTAAATCAGAAAAGTGATGTACTTTACAACAATTCCTAGGAAAGTGTCGAACAGTAACGTAAGGACAAAATGTCAACCCTGCTTTTAGCAGTGTGTAACGATTGCTACACGCCTAGGTTCATTGCACTGTATTCAGTTACCCAATTGGTTCTGTATAAATAGCCAATCAAACATGAACAACCTTGAACTATTTACTTTAATAGCGTTGGTAGATCGATCTAAACTGTCTGAAGCCTCAGACAATGTAAATAAATTTGATTGGTTTAATCTAATTGGTCTAACATTTTTATAATCTACAATTTAGCCAATCACAATCAGAATAATATCTGTTTAGTCCAATCGTCTGTTCTCTAGTCCTGCATTTACACACGCTTTGGTCCTTGGACCATCTTAATGGCCCGATATTAGGTTGGTGTTCCTGGTTGAATATGACTTCAAAGCCAGCTTTGTCACCAGTGCAGACACATGACAATTAAAAATAATGTTAATATATTGTCTTATTATGAATTACCCTATTTGACAGATATCTCAAACAAATGTTTGAATTAGTTTAGCATGTTATGCAATACCCGTATCGGAATGTCCTTGTGTAGACACTTAGCCATAAGAAAATAGAATATTTACCATTAAACGGTATGACCTAAGAACATTTTTCGGATCACAATTTGTCTAGGAATGTAACTCATGTAAATTAGCTATCGAGGTTACTTACGCCGAGTCCCAAGTTAAATTCTTCGGATTAGGACTGTATTAGTTTATTACAAACTATTAAGTACTTCATCTTGGGCAAAATATCAAGTTAACCACTTACGTTATAACCGATCGATTCTTCAAGGTGATGAAAAGAACTGTATAGTTGTATGTATAGCTTTCATGCGTACAGTAACTCGTAGGATTGATTAATCTTTGGTCAGAATATCAAACTTGAAATCTGTTCTGTGATAATATATAATGCATTTTTTTTAATATTCTGAATTTCTACCTAAAGTTTCCTTTTTGACCACTACTTAAAACGAATTGATTCAACCGACTTAAAGTACGAAACAGGTCTTTTGTTCTGCCCGTATATGCAATAATTTACAAATATTTGTAGGAAATTAACATTACTCAGAAACCACTTTTTTTTAAAGTCACTGAATAAAGCTTCCAATTCATTAAGATATTCTACAGTTTCAGTGTTTGTCACTATGAGATTACTCATTGGTGTACACTTTCAGCAAGTGCATAATAAACTTTCGCCTTTCATAGGCTTTTATTATTCCTTTATAGAATGAAATACTTATTTCATAATGTCCGCTGAGAAAAAATCAACCAAAAAATCTTTTCTAGCAGTTTAACACCCCGAATTGATTGCTCATTTCCTTTAGTAAAACCCGCCTACTTCAAAACTTATTTTTTAGAAGTTTTGGCCATTTCAAATCATTTTTATTATCTAATCTATCTTTCTTGCAATCTGCCTTACTCTAGAAATGTATGTGTTTGGATCAAATGTTCTTTGCAACAATATTTAAGAGTACGCCATAACAAAAAATCTCAATTACCCTTAATTATAAGATTATAAACCTTTTATTTATAACATAATAATATTAGTAATAGTAGGTTTAATTGAAATAAGATGTTTCCATTTAGGTTTTTTTCTACTTCTTTGTCGAATCTTCAAGTGAAACAGTACTCTATAGTATACCATTCGATGGAATTTTATTCTATCTTAAACAAGCTTTAACCTCCAACGTATGTATCTCTTCAAACAGACCGAAGGATGCGTTGGAAGTCATTCAGAAATCCAAGTGAGGAAAGAATATTCTTCAATAACATAAATAGGTGGTGAAAACAAAATATAACTGAGTAAATTTGACAAACTGTCCTCTACAGAAAATTAGATAACCTCATAATCTGAGTAGACCACCGTCACTAGTAGAGATATGAGGAATACTGTGGAAGGGAACCTTACTCATTAGGTGGAATTTCAAGAAATAGAATCTGCTTCGGTTGCTATGGCAACTAAACTTCAGCATCACAACGCTCTCTCTCTCTCTCTATATATATATATATATATATATATATATATATAAGGGTTTCTTGTAAACATCAGGGACGGTTTCCAGTTATGCAACCAAGAACATAGGCGACTTTTGCATACTCTCCCTCCTGATTTACTCGTAAATGACACAAATGAAATCTTCACTACTTAATAATGTTTCTCTCCCAAAAATTTCACAGAAACTAGGTATTTTTGCAACTATATTGTTTGTATTAAGATTCGAGTTAACCTAAAGGTAGTTTTACTTACTAATTGAGGATTATAGTGACCTACTTGAATCACTTCGCATGCAACAAAATGCATCATATTTTCTGTAATCCTTATTGTTTTAACTATTCGGTCATATATATATGTATATATTCTAATACCTCTTCACTTAGTTTATTTAGTCACAAATCAAACCTTTTAGGCTATAAAAATGATCTTAACAGCTATTTTGCCTAGTCTCAGCACCTCAACTACTAAAATTTTCTTTCTACCGTGATTGAAACACGAAGATAATAAGATTTTATCGATTTTTCTACACATGCCTGGCTTAGCAATATAAACCAATAAGCATCCAGTTAATTTGTCTTTGCATTTAACCAATCAAAATAATTATAACACTGACATGTAAATGGGTGGATTTTAATATTTGTTGTAACTCTTAAATACAGCCTTGTTTCTGCTCTTGTACAATTGTATTATGAGGTTGTATAAGGTCGATTTTTAGTTTATATGCTATTGAATGTATCACATTACTAGGCAGTAGATAGAGTATTATTTTCTCTCCATTAGTGAGTTTCAATGTTTGAGTTTTAGGATATTTCTGGTTGTCTCCAAAAGTTGTTTGGAGAAGTTGAAATAAATCCATATAGGAACAGCGGCAAACAAAGTAAATTAATTTTGTTATTTTGTGACTAAATGCCATTGACATTTGTGTACTAGATGATAAACTCATACTGAATATGCGTCCTTAGGTAGAGGCTTGGTTGAAATTCTTTCACGAATATAAATTCACTAATCTAAGGAGCTTTAAATGTTACAAATACCGAGAAGTAGGAAACTTAGGTCAAAGCTGTATTCCCCGAATAGCTTCGTGATCTAGTGTCAAATTCTTACTGATAGATAATAAAGCAAAATAAACTGAAGTAGTTGTGTAGGTAGATCTCAGTAAGCTGACAAAGATCTTCCATGTACCACGCTGTTAGTCACACTTACCATGTGAGGGCTAATGATACCACTCAGTTGTTTTTTCATTCCTTTGATTCAAAGTGGGACGTAAAGCTTCAAGAGCTGAAGTTTCATTGGAAGTGTTGTTACTCTAATGGACTGGGTTTAACAGCCTCATGGCCGACCTTCCTTGTCATCTTGACTTACTGTTAGCTAGTAAACTAGGAGACCGTTAGGAATGCACCAACTGGGAATGAAGTCCGGACTATATGTGTGGCTGGTGAGCATTCTACTACTGAACAACCGAGGTGCAACCCAGTTTCTCATTCTGAAATCAATGAAGCATTACTGAAACCAGAGACATATTGACTGGAAATCAATGAGCCACAGTTTGTTACTTAAAATATGAACTGTATTCGTCAGTTTGAAACGTTTCGAATTCAAACGCCAGCCACTATATTAACCAATTAATAGCTTAAACGCATTACAGTAGAATGTATAACATATCCCATTTCATTTAATGGAAATTTATTCAGTTTTAAGTTTATCAGCTAAAGAATAACATGTGCCCAGAAATATAATAGTAGCAAGAACACCAGTTATTGATAGTGTGTTCTGCGAACTTTTGTTTATACTCAAAGTAACACTGTAAGAAAGTTTCCATTAATTACATCTTAATAAGTATATATGTGACAGTGGTTAAGCAGTGGAATAATCGCCGACCACTCATGTCTTCTGGGGTTCGACTCCCGATCGACACACTTTTACAACTCGTTTGGTCAGTAGTAAACCCAGTAAGAAGGGTGGGGGGTTGAGCGCAAGGCTAGCAACCTAACCCCGTAAAAAATAATGACCACTACTGCTGAAACCTGAAGTGCGGTGTTCCACTCAGAACCGAAAGGAATAAAATAACAATGAAAAATATAAACTATAGATAAGGGCACAGTGATTAGGAGTCTCGCCGACCATGCACATAGTCCGGGGTTCGATCCCCTGACGACGAAGCACACTTGATATCTATGGTCGGCCTCCAAAATTTGGGCTACCGATATCACATGCTGAAAATTCCATACCTGTACCAAAAAATACGGTGTGGAATCAAGCTGTAATAAAAACACTGAATAAGATGAAGAAGAGGGAGAAAATGCTGAGTGTCATCGGCACAGATAACAAAAATCTTCTTACTCTGACCGTATGATTCACAGTATGTTGTTAAAAGTAAGGTAGATGACCAATACAGTATATATATATGCACACAAACATCTGAGTACAATGCAAGACACATTTACATACATATATACACAAATATGTATCTATGCACACAAACAATAAAAATAACAATGTCGACTTTTATCATTTTTTTAACACTCATACATATCTAATGTGTATAGGTAGTCGTATGATCAGACTTATTGATTTTTTATTTTATTTTTTAAGAAAGTTAATAAACTAGTTAGCAACATTTTAGTTGGCTGCATTTATAAAAATGACTTATTTTAATGGGTTTAAATACAATTTTTGTTAATAATGTTTCTAATATAAGAGTATTGATTACTTCCCAACACAGTAAAATTATACCATTATTATTATTATTTTGATTTGTAGATGGTGATTAGCAGTGGAATCCAGAATGCGCATTTCGTTCTACTTGGGACTCGTCATCTGGATTTCCCATCTTGCATTTCCCAGTGAGTGATGATGTTCCCACATGTCAACCTGAGATCGAGCGCTTCGGTCTAATCAGTCAGCGGGAAAATCTCAAATTCAATTATATTATTATTATTAGAAATGCGGTGATTTAAGATTAATTTTGTATTTCTCGTTGTTTAATTGCATTGGGTCGAAATGTTCGGTTTCTGTAGGCACATTGGCTTCCTTTCTTAAAAATATTTTTGATTACAGCTTGATTCCATACCGTATTTTTTTGGACAGGTATG